AGCAATCAACCATTGTTATAATTTGAATCCTGGAACACTTTGCTAAGTCCACGAGTGCGTAACATGGGATCTATGTACAGTATGCATGACAGATTGTTCCAAGGAGCAGACAATCTTTTGTGTAAACGTTATTTCAATTTCTAAAGGTCTCCTTTTTCTAATATATGCACCCCATCAATATTTCACGCACTACGGTTCAGCATATGTGCAACTGAAAAGGCATTCAAATTTTAACAATATGCTTGATTTCTAAAGGTCTCCTTTTTTTTGATACACCCTGTATATATATACAGGGTGTATCAAAAAAAGCGCAACCTCGGAATGTCCCAAGAAATCGACATTATTTTAAAGACAAAAGATTTTAGGCGCGTGGGAATTTAAAATAACATAACTGTCAAAATTACTGCACACACGAGTGCATAAAGCAAAATTTATGCATTTATTTAATGCACAACAACAGTAATATGATTTATTAGCAATTCGATTTCAATTCTCAGGGGCCTAAAATCTTTTATGCTTAAGAATTGCAAAGTGATTTCTTAGGAAATTCCGAGGTTGCGTTTTTATTGATACACCCTGTATATATATATATATATATATATATGTTCAAACGTTTTTTGTATAATGTAAAACATCTACCCAAGTCCACAAACAGTGGGATTATTAGTCTAGTAAGGCATTAATTTAAAATAAGACCTACCCTTGTGGCATAATTAAATGTTTTGCCAGATTTTATAAACCACATATGTACATAATCTAGAGTATGTACATAATCTAACTGCATCTATATACTTAAATACTAAGGAATGATCTTACAATACTAACATAGCCTTAACCACATGTGGATGGACAGATATACGAAATACACAAGTTTACAATATCTCAGTGCATGGTCTACTTACCAGATCCTGTGAAGATATGTTTAAGAAAACCATTTACTCAAATGAGATATAGGAAAATTACACAACACAAAATCACAAGCGACTGCGCAAATCTTATTACCAATTCCTAATTTGCAACATCGCAGCATGGTCAAATCCGGCCCTGTGATAATAAATTAATGTGCATCGTCAAATCACAGTCACCTATCAATTACCAAGTATAATTTTACATACAATATACATGCTAACCTTAATTACGATATTTCTACAATGGATTGACATAAAAAGACACAAAACAGCGCACGCGTTATATGCATGCACCTTTTACACAATATTTCACGGCATGGCCTACTTTCAAGACCCCGTTGAAAATAAAAGGAATCCACTGGATAGATAATGATTATAAGTAAACCACAGGTCCTAGACGCATGGAGAGATCCTATTACCTATCTCAAAATTAAAGTACTAGGTATGAACGGGATTTTTAAAAGGCCTGTTCACACTGGTCATGGAATGTTTTGTGCTATTTCTCGTGCAATTTTCTCCTCCGGATGGATGTGAACAATTCGATGATTTATGAATAAATGACGATAACAAACCCTTATGCGAACATTCACAGCTCATCAACCTGGGCCTCTTTTAAGAAATCGTCAGTTGGATTGGGGGCTCAAGGAAGAGGGACCTATTCATCTATGCGCATACTATATAGGCATGGACCGCGAAGCGATCTCACAATATGAAGTAAATTCGTGGAAAAACTGATAACTCTTTTGAGGGAAGGGGGCCATGTCCGCAGAACAATTTAAGAACTCTAAACCTGGAAGTCCCACAGTAATTTTGTTCATGATGATAATTCCAGTTAGCTGTTGCTATGCAGATATATTTCGTAAAACGCATGTTTCATGTAAATGAAGTAGTAGAGGACTGTGTACTTGGTTGTGATGTCACCCCATGCCAGCAAGTATACGTACGTATGAAAAAAAGACAATTTCACAAATCAGTACGTAACATTGGTGTAACGTTAATTGTTCTTCTGCTCTGAAACATGAATATGTCACGCGTGCATGTGCTTGCCAATCCTATAACTGCTTTCGCTTTTCTTATTTAGCTATGCATGCATGCATGCATGTCAATGTGGAATGGTGCATGCGTAATCTTATAAGGACAAATATAGAAAAGGGCTTGCTAACGAGAGCGGTTTTTATGTACTATTCAAAAAATGAGCAGGAGTGTTTTATTATAGGTTTAAAGGAAAGGCAGTTGGTTGCTAATTGGTCGAATGTATGAAAATGATCCCTCTTTCGTGTTTAAGCTTTTTTCCACATTTATTGGTCAAAATAAAAAAATCTTTTTTATGCATGTCTTGACGAAGGATGTTCTGCTTCTCTGAAAATCCATTCCATTTAATAAGGTGGTCCTAAGTTGAAAACAGTGTAGTTGTGACGTAATTACCGGATAGGTCTATTTGTATGTCCAAGTAACCTTGGACATGTAATGAATATATATGTTCTAGTAATGTATCTGATATTCAGCCTAGTCCCAGTCGTTCTGAAGCAAGCGCGAGAAAAAACGCGGATGTAGTATGAGACTGGGACCTAGGTGTGACATCACAGCTATATTAAAGCAGCGTTCAGCGCGAGAGCCTGGAACTAGGCTGTCTGATATTATTTCATTTCTAAAATATTTTAGTTGCATCGGCCGAAAAGAATAGAGAACATCCAATAACGAATACTCCTCCAGAGTCAAACACAGATTCAGCGGCAACCCATAATCCGGAACAGACAGCCACGTTCACCAAAACAACCAGGATAACGAAAGCAACCGATACGCCATCAAGTGAACGCACACAACAACCATCAACAAATATCAAACGTCCAAAGTCGGATGAGCCAAAAATCATCGACGCAAGTCCAGGTATAGATAATTAGATAAATCTTGTTCACGAGCAAATGGCTCGCCATCCCGGGTGTCGAGCCGGCGAGAGGTTACTAACTCCGCTTGGCTATTTACCCCTGGGGAAAGGAAAGAAAAGGAAAGCATTAGCGAAGTCTAAAGTTTATCAATAATCGCGGGCGCGTGACTATCGTGAAAAGCGACTTATATCTGTGAACTTACCATTATAAACAACAACAACCGTTGTAGGAAGTCGCACTTCGTGATGCTTGCACTCTTAAGTTTGGGTACGTCAGTGCCCCAAATGTGGAGATAAACGTAAGCGTGATGAAAGATAGCTTACGTCATTCATTCGATTGATCGAATTTACCTACCGACACCGAGTATGTATTGAGACTTTCAAATCCAACTCTCTACTTCTCTCCCCGGCATTTCAGTATTGGGAAAGCTGCACTCTTTCTGAAGAAATATAACATTAAACTAGAAGCGCGCAAATAATTATATTAATTTTATGGATGACCTTTGGATTAAACACTGCTATTGCAAAACACAACAAGAATGAAATCAAGTAAAAAGGGGTTTGTCTTAATCATGGACAATAGCGAATGCAAAAGAAACACATGTGAACTGATTATGTCTATTGATTGGTCTTGAAATTTACGTTAGTTAACAGTGTCTTGTAACACTCGTATTCCTGCCCCTTTTATATTATAATAAGCCCTCTTCTTTACAGAACTTAGTTAGAGAATTTGGGGTTTACGCATAAAAAGATACAGGCTGGTTAAAAATTCCATAAAAACTAAACTATAATCAGCGACCTAGACTACTATTGCTGTTTTTTATTATTTACATATATACATTGTATTTTAATTTAGCAACTCAGATTGAAACAACGACGTCATACCCAATGCAGAATATAGTAACGCATTCAACGACAAATCGAGTAACGCATTCAACGACAAATCGACCAACGCCAACAATTCTACCTTTTCCTCCAAAGGCTGCCAACGATTCAACAGACCTATCTGAAAGGAGCTACAAAATGTTGATAGATATATTTGCTATATTAATAGCAGTACTAATAATATTAATCGTATTGGTTTTATTAAATATTTGTTTGCTAATTCGAACTGGCATGTGTTGTTGCCGACAGGGATCGCAACTCCAGATTAATGATTCACTCGAATTAGCTGAAAAACCAATGTGATTGACAGTAATAGGTGCTTAATTTCTTTGTTCCAACTGAGGACAGAAGATATAGACTGCAATACAGGATGAGCATGGATAACGGCAAATCGACATTATTCAATCATAATGGTTTCACAAAGATAGTTTGAACTAACCTTTTACTGTGTCTCTAAAATACTAAATTCGTATTAGAACGATTATATCCTTAACTAATATATACCATCTTAATACGTAGAATTACAAAAATAAAATAGCCTCGCGAAACACAAACGTAACTTTAGCTGCGTGGTTCTTCTACCGAAAGCAACAGCATTTAATTTAATTTAATTTAATTTAATTTAATTTAATTTAATTAAAAAACATGTTCATTAAACTAAGTTGGTAAATACAAAGTGTATATAGAAATTGTGTAGCAATTTGATGCAAGGTACCATGTACACTACTGGTATAATTATGTACATTATTGATTTGGTAAATACAAGGTCTACATCGAATTGCATAAGAATACGATGTACATTATGTCTTACATTTTTTGCCATAGTAGCCTCTGAAGCATAATTTATGATTTGCTCGACTGACTTTGTGCATGATTAATTTAATGCATGGTTTGATTTTTACATCGTTTTTACAAAAACCATGCGAGATAGGCTACTATGCTACGAGAAAAAATGTTCAAGTTTTTGAAGTCGTGCGTTGGAATTAGAGTACATCAAATTGTCTGGTACTTTGATAGTTCATAAATCTATTTCTAAATTGGCGCCGTATGAAAACAAATTGCATTTCAAACTTGCAATTGTGCGCAAGCCAGTTTTAAAGCGGTTTTGAATAACAGCCTTGCTGCACCCAAAAATTTACTTTTCACAATAATTTTGTGATAGAGATACTAGAAAACCCTATACTACTCTTAAACATTTTTTATGATAAAATGAATTATTAGTTATGATACATTAATTTTTATTGATAAAAATGAAATAAGTTACTTGATCATGCTGCTTACACTTTTTGTTTATGAGCAGAAAGGAATGGTTGAAGTAAAAAATCAGCAACTTTTCGCAGACTTGGTGCACTAATTTGATGAGTGCAGATGAAGAAACGCCCTCCCCCTAATGAGTATATATTTTCTTTCACCTCGCTCTCGGCTCTTGTATACTCCTTTGCTTCCGGTATAAACAGAAAGGCCTTATGCATGGAAACTTTCAGTCTTAATATTCTCGGTTGAAATTATACTCTATTGCATTCCTAGCCTTTTATGGGGGGGGGGGGTCGACCAGATTTGCAGCGGGCAGGATTGATTGGCGGGCTGTTTGATTGACATGTTTACGTGCAAGCGAATATATTTCTTTCGAGCCAGGGTTTTCCCCAATTGCAGCTGAATTTTTATTGGTCAATTTTAGAGAGCCATTAATTCTTTTATGACTGACGCGTGTAGCCATGAAAGCCCGCCTGCATATCAAGCTCCCACCCCATAAAATTGCGGGCCTGCCACGCAGGCTATTGAATTCCCAATCCAATGAATAAAAGAATTTCAAACATTCCGCACTGTTTTCTTTCTACCATGTCCCAAATTTGGCAAATTTCACATTTTGACTGAGAAATTCATTTATTTACACCGCGAGGTCACATTTGACATGGGCTTGGTTGCAACATGGAGAATATTTGACCACCAAAGTCAGAAGTGTCTCAATAGTACGGCAGATCTTGCGTTGCTGGCATCTATATGGTCGTATCAGTTATACGGACACACAATTTAGATAGATAAGATGTCGTTTTACTTCAAAAAGTTGCCACAACAGCCTGTTTTGTAGTGTCTCGCAGTAATACAACACCACGATAGTATTCAAATTTAATCAACACTAATACGAAATGTTAAGCCTCAAAAATAACACAATAAGTAAATCCCAGTTTGTTTTTAGTTCAACGTTCTATATATGTCTTTTTTAGATGCGCGCGCATCCACTTAATTAAACACAAATGTCTGCTGACCAGACAATCTCATAACATTTCTCCCCACAAGTGTCAAACTCACAAGTTTAGTTTCACAGGTGCTCTTCGCTCCCGAGCTGGATATCGTCTTACTTGGTGGAATTTGGTAAAGGTGGAATTTCTTTACTCCCCATACCAAAGCAAGCGCTTCTTTATCAATTCACGAATAATTTTGTTCTGTTTTGGTTAGAGTACGTGATGCGAATGTGATTGGTCTCTTTGCCCATCTTGCATCACATGGAACAAAACTGCAGCTATTCCCACGGGCGAGGCATCACAGGCAAGTTTCAGAGGAAGCTTTGGGTCATAATATATATAAACCCTGTCTGATGTGATCAACTTCTTCACTTTGGAAAATGCACTACTACACTCTTCTGTCCATTCCGGCCATTTCCGTCCTTGTTCTAATAATCGATTCAATGGGTGCAGAATGGTTGCCAAATTTGGCAAAAACTTGTGATAATAGTTCACAAGACCTAAGTAAGAACGGAGTTGCTGAGTGTTAGTTGGTTGAGGTGCATCAAATCAACGATTTACCTAACTGTTCAAAAAAAATTTTATTTAGAATTTTCGCTGATGATACAAATATTTTCTATTCCTCAAACAGCGTAAATGAGCTAGAAAAACAATTAATGATGAATTAAAGCATTAAGCATGTACTGAAATACTGCAATCATAACAAGTTTTCTATCAAATTTAAAAAACAAATTATATGCTAAATTACCTCACCAAGGAAAAAATGTGATATAACAATAAAAACATGCGACATAGAAAGGAAAAGAAAGATAAAGTATTTGGATGTTTTTATCGATGAGCATCTGCAATGGTATGATCAACTGCAACATATACAAAACAAAATAGCCAAGAACACTGGAGTTATAAATAAACTAAGACATTTCGTATCGATTCATATGCTAAAACAACTTTACTACACACTAATATATCCTTACCTAAATTACGGTATCATGAGTTGGGGCACTGTCTGTCCAACTAGATTGGATAAAATAAAAACTAAACAAAACAAATGTCTTCGTGCAATCTTTTTCTCATGAACAAACGAAAATGTAACGGCCTATTTTCAACTTCTCGAAATACTGAAACTTGAAAATATCTTTAACCTGAAAATATCATCTCTTGTTTATAAAATAATAATTAGGAAAACCGAAGGCCTTATTAAATTTAACTATGAAAGCATCTGATGTTCGTAATTATAACACCAGGTATGCCTCCAAGCGGAACCTATACATACCAGCTTCTAGAACAAATTATGGGCTAAACCAGATTCAAAACAAAAGCTTCCAAAATATGGGAAAAATATCCTAGACAAATTAAATCTTTGCTACTTTGCAGTTTCAAAAAACAGTATAAAATGTTTCTTCTTAATAGTCAAGTAGAATTACATGACAGATTTGACTAGACTTATATGTTATTAAAAAATGATATTATAGTAATCATGCATAAATATAAAATAAGTTTTGTAAATTATACTATACACTTAGAAACCCTAACACTAAATACTATAGAGATCAACTTTTTTTCTATTTAGTTTTAAATACTGAAATATAATTTCATAATGATAGTGGTCAACTCGAAAGCTTCTGCTCCTTTGACCACTACGCACGCTTCATCTGTAAATACATATTATGAAATATTAATCTAAAAAATATATAGTATACTAGTAATAAAAAAATCCTGATTCTGACAACTGCTTGCTCATGAAAAAAGTCGATGTAGTTTCCTCCACAAGAGGGAAGAGCCTGGGAACGAGGTTGTCATTTGTGTCACATCAGCGAATTACTGTACAATAGATTATGGCTGATTTAAATTTGAAAGAGTTCACTTTTTTGGGG